GTGGGATAGGGAGGGTGGGAGGGAGGGAGACAAAGAGGGAAGAGATATGGGAACATATATATATGTATAACTGACTCACTCTGTTATAAAGCAGAAACTAACACACCATTGTAAAGCAATTATACCCCAATAAAGATGTTTAAAAAAAAATAAAAAAAATAATTAAGTAGCCTTCCAAAGGAAGTGATTGAAATTTAATCCTCAGACCACTGGAAGCGTTCACATTTCTCTGGGAAACAGATTCTTCTAAGCTTGCATGTTATTGATCTATTAATGACGATACTGATTGAAAATAAAACCTCATTCACCAGTTAAGACACACTCAGTACTATTAGCAGAAAAAAACGATGGATGTGGTGGTGGCAGTTATACTATGAATGATAGTTTTTGCAAAGCTTGCTCTTGACTCATTAATCAAAATGTATCTTTTATAGGTTTTTAATTTTTTATCAAATACTACTAACCATGGATGGGTGGAGCAAAATGATTTTAAGCCATTTTATATAATCATTTTCTAACTAGTGAATATTCAGTTGGGATATTTTAACAAAATAGCAAAATTTAAACATTATAAATCATTTCATTTCTAAGGAATTATCATTAACATCTTTATCATTGAATCACTTGAAAGTTATTAACCTCTGTGATTCTCTTTAATTTGATAGATATTAGATTTGTTTAATAATTTATTTAATTTATTAAATCTTCAGTATTTTGTATTTGGCTTTAGCCATATGAGGTGGACAGATATGTAAGCCATAGTCTCTACCTGTCTTCTAGGATCGTTCAGAGTATTTGCTGGGGAAAACAACAGACTTACATTTTACAATATACTGGATCGGCCAAAAAGTTCATTCGGTTAGTGAATACATTGTGCAATAAAATTCTTGGCAAAAATGAAAAATGTCTTTTATTTTTACTTAAAACAGAACGAACTTTTTGGCCCACCCAGTATTACTTGGGAGCTCAGATCTAGAATTAAAACAAACCTGAGCCTTAGTGCCAGACCCACCACATACTGACCATGTGACCTTGGGCAAGTCACTTGCCCTCTGTATGCTCAGTCCCTTCTGTAAAATAAAAATAGTAATAGTACCTACTTCATAAAGTTGTGAAAATTGTGAGTTACTATAGAGAAAGTGCTTAGAACAGTGTCTAATAAATGTTAGACATTGCTGTTTTTATTGTTGTTATTGACACATAGATAGTTTATGTCATACTTTTATGTTGTAATAAAGTATGCAGCATGGCAGAATATAATTCAGCACAAGCCAGCTATTTTCTCTGCCGTCCATCCTTTGTTCATTCTACTGACTCACCCTGGGTGATCTCAGCTAGCTCCCATGGCCCCAGCACAACCTAAAGGGTGGTAACTCTTTAAATCTTAATCTCCAGCCCTGTCTTCTCCTTGTGCTTTAACCCTGTATAGCCAGCTTCCTGCTGAAGGCTATCCTGTAAGACATCACACTCAGCTCACCGTCTGCTCTCTCCGCTTTCTGATAGACCTCTCCCACTTAGAAATAGCTGTAAATTCTTCTGGAGTTCTGTGTCCACCATCTCTTTTTTCTTGTTCCCCAAAATAGCAGAAGGCCAGCAGAAGGAAGGGACTTCCAGTTAAATGATAGGTAGAACTTGGTAGTGGAGGAAAAATCAGATTTTTCTCCCTTCCCCCGACCCCAACCCCAAGTCATGGCCAAGGACGGATTCTACCAAGACTTAACAGTAGCCTGGATCTGTTTGAGAAAGGTATTCTCTGATATGAACTGGTGCCCCTTGTTTAGTAAATAGGTATTAGCCAAATACTTTATGTCACTTGTTATTCAAAAGCAGATGATAGAGTAAAAGACTCGTTGCAGCCTGGCAGTGTTCATTCACCATTCCCATCCAGGCAGCTCTCTCTACGGATTGTTATATTGGCCTTGCCCTACAAGCCTGAATCACTGCATTGTGATACTATGGGCTGGTCTCACCTCTTTGTGCTGCAACATGACCCTTCTCTGCCAGCTGTATTTTCAGGCTGTTTCAGGACCGTATCATCATTTTGCAAATAAACCAGTTGAATGGTTTAACTCTCCCACACCCCTTCCCACTGCTCCACCCTAAATATAAGAGAGAACAGACAGCAACCCATAGACATATTCAAACTTGAAATTACCTCAGTTTGTAGGAGCACCACAAAAATACAGAGCTGTTATTTAAAACAAATCAAGAAGCCCGAATGTATAAGAACCTCATGTTTTAAGTGACAGAGAATTCTGTGAAAGGCTTTTAGCTTACAAGTTGGTGGAATGTAGCATAACTTAATGTCCTTGTACTTTAATATCTGCAAATGTCATTTCCGACTATAAAGTGCAACTTCTCTCCCTGATTTCATATTATAGAATAAACACCAATTTAATCTAAAGGAAATTGAGTTCTCCTAACCCTACCTGACCCCCTGCTTCTCTCTCACAAGTATCAATCAAGGTGGGGAATAACTAACATTGAAATCTTGGATGTGTTTTATTTGTATTTCATCTTTGAACTTACAGTTAAGATCAAGCAGGAGCTTCCCTGGTGGTCCAGTGGTTAAGACTCTGAGCTTCCACTGCAGGGGGCTCAGGTTCAATCCCTGGTCAGGAAACTAAGATCCCACATACCACATGGCACGGCCAAAAAACTAAAAAAAAAAAAGATCACACAGCTATTTCTTGATTTAAAAAATAATAATAAAAAATAAAACTCCCTGCCTCATATTGCCAAGTGAAATATGTTTCTCTAATCTATAGAATTTATTAAATTTTATGTATAGATTTTATGAAATATTTATTTTGAATCTTCATGCTCTCCACCATAAAATGTATAAGTTATTATAAACTCAGCATCATAAATCAAGGGACAGATGATACAAAAGATTGCCCAATGCATTGCACGGATGCCATTCAGTTGACTTATTTTAATTTTTTTTTTTTCTGCAGGTCATAGAGCTGAATATATGACTACAAGGTAGGAAAATATTTTATCATAACTCATTGTGTCTTGCTCTCTTCTCTCTTTTAACAAGCAACCATTTAAATGCTGCAAGAATGAAGATATTTTGTTAATGAACATGGAAGATAGTTTGGGCTTGACAAAACAGTAACATGAATTGTTTGGGGTTCTCACAAAACCATATTTGCTCTGGAAGATCTGAGGGTTTCCCAGTGGAATTGTAAAGCTCTTTAATGAGCAGCCTCAGTTAAAAAAAAAAGACATAAATTGAATGGGTTTGATTTATCTAATCCAAAACACTTTAAGTTTCTAGAAAGAGTCTGATAGGATTTTTGATTTGATAATTTAATTAACAAGCAATATTATGCACATATCTACTGTGTTAGTTACTTCTTGCTCCTGTATGGTGTATAAAAACTAGAGCTATGTTGAATACTCTTAGGATTTCAGCTCTGCCCCTGTTTGGTTTACTTTAAAAATTTAACTTTTAATGCCTAGTATCATATTGCCACTTTCTTTCTTTTTTTCTTCCTTTTTCTCCCCTTTTTAAAAATTCTTAGAAGGATTTTGATGCTACTGCTGAGAAGGAAAAGCCTTTTTGGAAGCAGGTTCTGATTTGGGTTGGGGAAAGTTTGTGGCAAGTTTTATTTTTCTCTGTCAACATTTGTACAACAGCCAGAAATTATTCTAATTGACATAGCAAGACTTCACACTTTTAAAGTTGAGTTCTCTTTGAGGTAGGAGGCATTTAGAACGCTGGTGTGTCTGTTGCAGTAATTGGCAAGTTGATTTTAAGGTTCTGCAATGTTCCTCCTAGGCAGTTTATTCAAAAGGAAACCCCTCTTACTTCTCGGTGAACCAACTAGAAAGATACAGCTACTGACTTGTCTAAACTTTATGAAAATACTGAGGTTTTTCTTCCCTATGTCAGTGACAAAGAGGCATATTACTCCTGCATAGTAATATGTGGCTTTTTTCACATATAGTGTCCCTTTGCATTATCAACTCTTTTACCTGTTTCTAAATTATAATTAACGTAAGGCACTTTTTAAAAAGATTTTTTTAAAGGAAGGAGTGCAAATATATATTTGCAATGAGAGCTATACTTGCCCAACAGACTTGCTATTCACATCATCCTGACTGGCACTTCCTCTCATCCACATGGGCATTCTACCTAGAAAGCCAGATTATCTGGAAGTTGTGTGGCAGGCACACAACCAGAAGGAGTCATACAATTCGAATGTTGAATGAATGTAGAATCTATTCACCTGATGTGTACGTGGTAGAGCCAGATCCATCAGTGCACCAGTCTGCCTGCCGAGCCAACTCTGCCATGGAAAGTACCTTGATAAGCACTCAGGCAGTTTATTTTAACCTCAGATCCCTCTCACAGCTTTAGTATCTTCGTGTTTGTCTCATACTTTTGATGTGTCAAGAGAGGCAATTTTCAGGCTTTTGGGAGAAGTCTCAAAAGACGTCTCTCTGTCAGCCCCAGCCAGGAGTTTCTCCGCATCTCTCAGCGATGCAGGAATAATTATCCAGTGCCACTGGGGGCTTTGGCTCTAGCTACAACGTTTGCTTGTCCCCACTAATCAGTAACCAAACAAAATGAGCCTGTGTTCCTATTCCCTTAGAGTCATCAACTGCTCCAGATAGCATTAAATGTGAAATTCTGGGCTTCCCTGGTGGCGCAGTGGTTGAGAGTCCGCCTGCCGATGCAGGGGACACGGGTTCGTGCCCCGGCCCGGGAAGATCCCACATGCCAGGGAGTGGCTGGGCCCGTGAGTCATGGCTGCTGGGCCTGCGCGTCCGGAGCCTGTGCTCCGCAACGGGAGAGGCCACAACAGTGAGAGGCCCGCGTACAGCAAAAAAAAAAAAAAAAGTGAAATTCTTTGGACCTTGTTGTAATAACCACATTTTCTAGTTTCTATATTTGATGCTTTGATATCTTGGGCCCTCTGAGAGTCAGTCAATTCCTAGAGATAGTAAAGGACTTGCTTACAAGTGTGCCTTTTGTGTACAAAGCAACCATCCAGAGCCCAGACTCTCAGCCACCTCCTTTATCAAGTCTCCACCTCAGGGCCACTCTTCCTCTCCCCCAGTCACCCAAAGGCCAGGTACCAGACAAATAGGGACACAGCTCCCGTGCCCCGAGGGCCCACGGAAATTATTCAAGGACTAGCCAATCCTGAACCTGCTTACCCTGCCTTGCCTGTTCCTTCCCGTGGGAACCGCAACAAAGGCTCACATTTTCCTTCATTCTTCCTTCCTCCTGAGCGACCTTGGTGCTTCTGCGTGTGCCCCCCTCCCCCATGTAGTAGCCTGCCCCCAACTCTTGGGAACTGTGAGTAACAAACCGTCTTCCCAATGACTTCTGATCTGTTGCCTCACCATACCTGAGTAAAAACAAAGTCTGTATTTTAAAATACTTCTAAAATAATGAAAAGAGTGGATGAAATCAAGCACATATGGTTAAACTCCTTGGTGGGCAGTTGTTTTGTTTGTTTATACCTACCAGATCCTTTCCTCTGTGAACGGCATAGAATTCAGTGTATAAATAAGATTTCAGAAACTTAAGCAGTGGCAGGTTATGACTTGCTGCTTGGTGAAATTTTACATGTCTGCTTCTAGACGCTTGCAAGGGCTCCTTTTAACCTCTCAAGCACCATGGAGCTTCAGGGGTTGCTTGCTGTATACCCCATTAGTCACAGGAGCCCAGCTGTTGGGAGAGCCTTAGAATTTGGCTACGGAAGGCGGTATCAGCAAGTTTGTTCCCCTACCTCTCTTGACTGCTATGATAATACCTTAGGAAGCTAGCCAGGCTTCTACATAAAACTCTTGGGCTTTTGTTTCTAAACTGGTCTTTCAGAACTTTAATGAACTGAAAAGGCAGTTCTTCCTAGAGAGTTTGCCGCTTAATAAAGGGCTTTACCTGATTTCCAAGTGTGGTGTACATCCTCAAACCAGCCTTCCGATTAAGAAGGAGTTTAGATTGCAACGTCCAGAGAGAAGTCTGGGGATTCTTGTTCCACGTACTCCTTGCAGCACAGCTGTTGAAGTTGAGTCACGTAATCCTGGCCCTCTTTGCCGTAAAGGGAGAGGGCGGAAGAGGTTCCCTCTCTCCAGTTACAGAGCAAGATGATGCCGGGTTTCTAAATATGGTACTTGGTACCGTGGATGTGCATAAGCCAGAGAGACTGACTTATCCATCAAAGCAAGCAGACTGGAGATGGAGAGAGTCCAGAAAATAATAAATGGGTACATCTTAATGCTCTACAAATAGGTGATGAGCTAGTCTGTTTTAAAGAAATGACAATTCATGTGAGCCTGGACCCACTGCCCCCCAGAAATAGCACTGAAACAAAACTCTGTTTTTCACTTGTAACCCATTAATAGCTACTTTTGCATAAAATAAAATCCCATTAATTACCTGAGGGATAGCAAACAGATGTCATGTTATTTGCATTGAAGAATTACGTTGTAACTAAAAATATTATATTTAATTTCTCTATTGGGATATATCAGAGTCCTAATTTTTAGGACCTGTTGTCTTCTGTGTGACTTGTAAGCCGAATTAACACAAACCTCGGTTTGTAACTCTTAGCCAGATAGCTCGCAGTTAATTCCATTTGTTGATGATGACCGCTTTAAAACAAACTAGCAAACAAATGTCAACTACAACATACAAGAAAAGAATAGTCTGATTGAATAGCTGGTATGGGTTTTGATATATAGGTAAAAGTAAATAAATGGGAAAGGGGAGGACTGTTTTCCTCTGTGGGTAGGGGTGGGGAAGGAACACAAGAATTCCTGTGTTTTGTAATTTTGATGTGACCTATGGGTGTTTCATTCACTGTTTGATTTCTGCCATGCTCAGTAATTATATTCCCTCTCTTAGGCCTCCAAATGTTCCCCCTAAGCCCCAGAAACACAGGAAGTCCAGACCCCGCTCACAGTATAATGCTAAGTTGTTTAATGGGGATTTGGAAACATTCATCAAGGTACTGGCACCAGCCATCTGGGTGGCTGATCTCCACGCTTCTTACTATAATGGTCTCAGCCTCTCATAAAAGGAGGCAGGTCATTATGTCCAAGTCTGTCCTGGGGCTCTTTGCTTTCCCAGAAAATCAATATAATATTTCCTGAAGTCAGAGAGAGGAAAGAATATTTGGTTTGAGTGCCTTCAGAAGAGGAAATAAATGTGGGTATTATTATACTGGCAAAAGAGAAAGCCCTCTTTCTTTAAAAAAAAAAAAAAAAAAAGCCATAATTTGTACAAAAAGGAAAAGAGCTACCTGATAAAATGTTTTGTTTCTACTCATGCAAATGAGGTGGCACAAAATATATCTAAAGTCCATCGTTAAGCTAGCTCTGAAGCACAACGAGTTTCGATTTCCCATGACTTGAGGAATTCATTATATTGGATAAATTGTAGGACCCTGTGGTCTGTATCTGGATCTCTGCTATGTTTACTCTGTCTTTTTCATCCTGTATTTCTGGTAACGCTTCTAGCCGAGGACGAAGGAATTCACACGCGAGACATCAGGTATAGTGCTCGAGGGAGGCGAGGGCACAGCCTCTTTCACCCTTGATATCATTTTCAAATCACAGTCATGCTTGGCTTTAATTAGATTTTTTAAGGTCTTTAAAAGAAAAGTGTTTGCAGTTGGAAATTAGACAGGTTTATAAATAGCTTTACTTAGAAAAGAATCATAGAACTCAAACACTGATTTAAGAGGAGCTGGAGAAACTCTTAAGTTTTACATTATGTATTTGGCAAACATACTAAATTTGGGTCAGGGGCTTTTATTAAGGAGAGTCAATGTTAAATACCAAATGTACATTTAATACTGGATTTTGGACCCTCATGTAAATTATACAAAAAAGAGAAGAACTTACTCTTTCATAGCTCACATTTTATGACATGGGATGCAGTGTTTCTGAAGACTAAATTTATACAGGAAACCACATCATTGATAACCTCCCTTAACAATATGTTACAGCTGTCTTGCTTTCTTTAAAGACAGATCTTTTATTGGATATGTACACTAATGGTTAAAAAATGTATATGTGTGTGTGCATGCATGTAGACAGTGAGACACATGCATACATACAGAGATTAAAAGCATCTGGCAACCTTAAAACAGAGCCCTAACCCTGGAATTGAGTGAAAAGTCACCGGACAACCTACAGAGCAATCACGAATCCAATGCCATTAGCCTTAAACCCAGAAGAGCCTTATTGGCTCTAATTTAATATGAAATTATTGTCAAATTTGATTATCTGGTTTCCCAGCCCAGGGCTCACAAGCGGGGGCACACTAGATGGAGAGAAGGGAATGATAAAATGAAAGCACTGGGATATGCAACTGATGGCCTGGCAGAGGAGAATATAGAAAAGCTCAAAGAAGCAGATGTGTGATTCCATTATATTTGATAGCACAGTACAAGGTCATAGGAAAGCACATATTATATTTTTAAAAGATTTTTCATTAAGAACAGTTAAAGGAAACCAAATTTAGTCACGAAAGGGGGAGTAAACCACTTATCGTGGAAAATTCACTTATGTGAGCTCCTCTTTGTCCCAGATGCCATATTAAAGAATCTTTGGTCCTAGCAGTGAAACAGTGGATACAGGGATCCCTACACTTCTGAAAAGTGCTCAGTCAATTGAGGTCCCCACAATATCACTGCGAGGAAAACACCATTTTCCCATGGGGAAACTGAGACACAAAGGGATTCGTTTGAACGGTTGATGGAGCACAGCCCATTGCTTCACTTCTTGTAAAATATTTTCTACCAAAGCATCTGGCATCCATGAAATTAAATTAAAACATGCACATTCATTACTTTTTGTCTCCAAAATTCATGATATCTGAATGAAATAGTGATGATAGCTGAAAGATTAGCAGTTACCTAAACAAATGTGAAGACGAAAATATTTTTAACATAATACACAAACCTAACACATTTTTATTTAGAACTTTCTTAATGCAAACATTTTCCTTTTAATAACCTTTTAATCTTGGTTTTTCTTTTTGTTTTAATCCTAAGTTCAGCTGTTGCAAACTAATATTCTCCTTTTATCATTTACATTTAAGTATTTGTTGCTCTTTTAGATTACAGTTTTATAGGAATTGTTCACATAAAAAAAAGCTTGTATCCTAAAGAAAAATCCCCTCTCATATTTAGTAAGTTTTGATGTAATTATATGGCTATTCTTGAGCCAACTGGTCCACAATTAATAAAGTTTACATTCCTGAAACGAATTGACTAATTAGAGAAACTTAATGCAGGCTCCAGAAGTAATTGAACCATTAACTGGTTTATACACTGATGAGATTGTCTTAAAACCGAAAATGAAACCATTCCTCAAGAAGTATATTACCCATTCTAGGAATGGTAAAAAGTTAGATTGCTGGACTGCATTATTCCCACTCCTTGCCCTGTTGATTAATTGGAAAGGTTAGTGGATTCTGAATTGTTCTAATAGATTGAGACAACCAAATTCTTCCTGTATTGCAGAATAAAATTCCTCATGAATTAGTGCCTGATTTCAGCTAATCATTTTGAACCTCCATGTTAACCTTAAAGCTCTAATTCCTGAAAGAGCAGAGCCTGAAAAGAACATGAAAAATAACTCCATAGTCGGTAACCTTTTTTAACTACATGGAGTGCATGGCATTGATACATATTTAACTGTGACCTAAGCAGCTCCTTCATTTCATTTGTCATCCTGTACATGTCTTAATACATTTCCAGAATTCACATTTGCTCAGTAGAGTGCACTGACTATATTATGAGATGTGGAGAAAGAAGGCTAAGAGATGGTCCTTCTAAGAAAACGAGATCTAATGGGGTGTGCATTGGTGCCATTTTTTCCTCCATCCTTAAAACATGAAAAAATAACAGTGAAAAATCTCTAAGGATCAGTAAGTTCTGATGCCAACTAAATAAATACATGACACATTATGAGCAGCTCTAAAGCAATTCTCATATTATGCATCTGGGAACATGTAAGCCCTTTTATAACTGTCATCATCTAGATGGTGGACTCTCAGGGATGCCACAGAGAAGATCCTGAGATGGCTGAATGATTGTGTTTGGTGACTAGTACAGTCAGTCAGTCCTAAGATGCTATGCTTAAAATACACAGAGTTCTTTTCAGGTCCATTAGATTAATTACTTGTATAAATAACCTTTTAAAAATGAGTGATTTATATGTTCATTTCTATATGTAAGCCTACATACAGTAGAAAAGATGAATTAGCTTGACATCTTTAGGCACAGCAGAGTAAGTTGAAACACGATTGCCTTCAGTGTATTTAATTTGGTTTGCCCCAGAACTGAAACATACCTTCAGTTAAATATAATTTTATATTTGGCCCTTGCGGAATATTTTAGAGGGAGTGTGTTTGGAAATGATCATCTAAAAGAGTAAAAGTCAGTCTTTAACTAGGGTTAAACTATGAGCTTTATTGTTATGTGTGATTTGTGCCTCTTCTTTGCGGTTAACTGGTTTCCATCTCTTCACCCAGGACTCAGGACAGATCATTCCCCTCATTGTGGAAAGCTGTATTCGGTTCATCAATCTCTATGGTAAGCCCTAAACTGCAATATTCTTATTTTAAACAATAATTACTAGGAGTATTTCAGTAAATATGTCTTTCCTTTTAATACTTAATTGTTGGGAAAAGGGGGACCTGGAGGACATGATGGGTTCTTTCATGCTCTTTCC